TACGCACCATTCTGCATTTAATGAGTAGTCACTATTTATCTCTGACTCTCTTCCACATACTTTTGTCCTGTCTGTCTTCCCTCACCCCGACTGTTGCCGTTACCCCTCTATGAGTCTGGTTGTTACAGAGATTTCTTCCTGTTAAAAGGGAGGTTTTCCTACCCACTGTTTCCAAGTGCTTGCTCAAAGAGGATCATTTGATTGTTGGGGGTTTCTCACTATTATTGTAGGTTCTTTACCTTACAATATAAAATGCCTTTTGAATGAATTGTGATAAAACTTTATAGGGGTGCAGACTGGGGCCTGATTAACTATTAATTAAAATCTGACTTACAGCTATCCCGATCTTCAAGGTAAAACATTTACTAAAGCTTTATAACCTAATATATTGTGTAGAAAGTATTAAAATTTAAAAGATCATGTCACATTTTAAAAGTTATATTAATGGAATATAGAGCTATTTAAAACTGTTTTCTACTTCAATTTGTTTGTACTGACAACATATAGGAAATGATATATGGATATTCCAAGTATGACGCCACTTTGGACCTCTGATCTCTTCTTCAAGGTCAAAAAACTTTCATAAAATTGTGCTTAAAATTCTGCTGCCTTTGTTTTTTTTTGCAACATTCAGGATATGACATCACATTATAGTTTGCATCTAAATATCATGATGCCTGATCTCAAATTTTACTTTTTTAATTTTACTTACTTTCTTTCAAGTTGACTGCAAAGTGCATTAAGACTTTAATGAAAGTATTGTACAGAGAAAGATAAATAACTGCCTAGTTAGTTAGAAATATAGGAGTTTTTATATAATAAGCTCAAGTTATTCTTTTCCAGTTTTTTAAAAATCAGTGCCTATTATTCATTACCTATTGTGATATAATGTTTGTATAATCAAATGAAACATCTGTCACGCAACCCTTACAGGAGTTTCAGTTTACTGCAAACTGCTTAAAGTATGTTTTAACAAACAAAGAAAACTAAGTAATTATATAAATGCAATACTGCCCTCAGAGTGAGCTGCCTTGGTGAAGGACAGTCTCAGAGTGCCTCTTGTTACATTAGGTATTTCACTGATAAGGTCATTTAGTCAGGATGTTTAATGGACTGCATTACATCGAGACGTGTTCATAATTTTCCTTCACCTATGGAAATAGCAAAAATACTTAAGTAATAATAATAGAAACACCAACTTTAAATATAAATTCAAACCTTTTGTCAAAGTGTTGTGCCCAGGCAGGCATACTATAACATGAGTACATGTTTTTTACAACATATGTGTACCTCTTTTTCCTAAGTTTTTTTTTTTGCCTGCATTTGTGACCTCTCTTTCTCCACCCATTAATCTTTGTTCATTTATTCTTTCACACAGAACAGGGGAAAAGTCTACAGTGTTAACTATCTCAAGGCCACGTTGGGGTACAAGCAGATAAAAACCGTGGTTCCCAGACCCTGACAAACAATACCCAGCGCAGCATCCCAGTTTTGTCGCTCCTATCTCCTCCTCCGACCAGACGTTCGAAACCAACCGCAGCCTTTGTCTGCAGCCAGTCTTACGTGTTCATCCACCATGGCCTTTGCATTCATTGTCATGACAATGCTTTTGGGCTCTTCCATGATGATGGCATTTGTCTTGGATCCATCCAGGAAAGAACCTGAAGCTGCTGTCTTAGGTCACAGGTCAGTATCAATACCAAATCAGAACCTCTGCAATAACCACACCACAATTTTGCGTGCCTATGTAGTTTTTGTCAGTTCAGCCATCTATTTGTATGATGTTTTAATTATGTTTTGGGAATGTTTCAAAGAAATCTTTCTCTATTGTTCAGAAATCAGAGTGAGCTGTGTGCTGATGCACGTGCGGTGAGGTCACATGGGTTAAATAGTAAATTCAGTGTGTGATTCAGGGTCATGTTGCCCAAATGGTTTTCAGGGAGAGCTGCACAGAGACATAACAGACTGTTCTGTTCAAGCTGCAGTAATGAAATCAATCACACTTGTCTCACTTCAGCCAAACATCTGCAAACAACTAGTCCACGAGGGTATTTGAGGGTATCTAGAAACCAACTACTTTTTCTTTTAATGCTGTAAAAACAACAAAGATTACTTTCTTTTATTTTTTTCCAACACAACATTGTACGTGATGTTCAGGTGCCAAGGTGAGTCATGGCAGTCCATCAAAAAGAACCTCCTTGGGGTTCTGAACTTGCAGACTGAGCCGCAGCTACCTGCCGGTGCACTGGACAGTGTCAGAGAGCAGTGGAACCGAACCTTCAGCATCATTTCTCACACAGCCAAGCATACTGCAAGTATGTGAAATCAAAAGATACACAGAAAAATGTACCACCCTCAACCTAGCGCTTAGTGGCAGTCAATTCTAAAGTCTTACAGTGCCTCTGTATCTCCTTCCAGCCCCAGCAGTCCCAGGCTACTCTGCATCAGCTGATAATCAAAACAGAGCGAGCCTGAACTGTTGCTCCATTGCCTCAGAGATCTTTATGAAAGGTGTGTAACAATACATTGTTATTTATGTGTAACAATAATACTGGTATGCAGCATTTTTCAGTACAGTAATCAAGTGTTTAATTTCCCAGATCTGGGCTGGGACAGCTGGGTGATCCAGCCCTTGAGTCTTACCTATGTTCAATGCGCAACCTGCAACTCTGCCATGGCCACTGTGCAATGCCCACCATCCCAAGTAAATATCCAGGATGCCAACACACAGTTAGTTAACAAAGACATTATTACAAGAGAATAATTCACTGATTTATATGTTTTTGACTCACATTTACATCCATAGATATTTATATGTTGTGCTTTAGTCCCCCAAAAAACAAAACCTGGCATAGGAAATTCTCAGAGGTGTGTGGGAACAGCACAATGCTTAGATTTATGATGTACTTTGTTATTTTCTACTATGCTGCCTAAGAACAGCACGTATCTTACCTTGGTGTGCTCTGGAGGCGAAACAGCTGCATGTAGATAAGCACGTGTACTTCTTCTTCTTCCTGCCAACATAAATGTACTTGACCAAAAACAAGCCAAGGCATTCCACAAAGTTCATCGACCAGAAAAAGCGTGACAGCAGGAGAGTATTGTGGAAACAGAACAGTAACTAAAAATCAAAACTAGAAGCTGAAGTGTTTGTTATTTTGTTTAAATCATTTCTATTTAAACAAAATAAAAATGTAAATCATTTCTTGACACCTTGCTTTATTTGGTGTGGAGCAGAGCAAGTCCTGCACACTCTAAATGTTTATGGGGGTTTTTTTCCACTGAAATATGACAACAATACAATTTTTAAAATGCTTAAGCGTCAGCTCTATAATCATGAAAATATGCACCGTGTCTGATTCCTGCTCTCTTTATCTTTTCCCAGGACCAGGTGCCATGCTGTCAGCCCATCTCCCATGAAGTGGTGCCCATTGTCTATATGGATGAATCCAGCACCATTGTCATTTCCTCCATGCAGCTGACCCGCAACTGTGGCTGTGGGCTGGGCAACTCTGAGGATCCTGGCAAGGAGTAGGCTGTCTTGAGTGTGTGGTATGAACCGCATGGCTTTTATACACACATCAAAAGAACAAAAAATCATATCCACAATTCTGTTCTCATACAAACGCTGCTTTTGTAGGTCGTCTTTCCCTTTTAAAATAGAAAGTGCATTCAGCACTGACTCCAGAAACCAAAGCAAGTCTGGGCTTTCCATTCCTGCAGCTGCACTGTAATAAAACAGGAGTTTTGGAAAGCTGGACAATTATTGTTCAACTGATTTAACAGTAATTACACAATCTTTATGTCTTTGTCTGTAAGCGTTGAACCAAAGAAAGCTCCAGCCAACACATGTATGGTAAATCCTCACAGTCTGTCTTTAAATAAATCTCATGTGGACAGGCTACTATTAATAGCTGTTAACTATTACTGAGAAGAAATGTTCCCTGAAGAAATGTAAGACTTGAGCCAGACCCTCTCACAAGAGGATCGGGCTCTACTCTTAAAGCAGATCGTCTCTGATATGTAACCTTCACAGATTATGTTTCATGCTCACAAGATAAATTTAGCAATCTATTAATTTCTCTGGGACATGGGCATGACTTTCCATTGGTTATACTCTATATTTTCATGTTTCAACTGAGGAAAAAGAAAAACAATGTTGGCCCGCAAACCCAAAAACTGCAACTTTGAAAGTTCATAATTAAACTATTTACTGGTGATATGACTGACATGCTTTAACAGAGGAGAACAAACAATCTTCTGTTCACATTTAATTTTCATTCTGATTTGTCATATGTATATAAATTCTGCCAGTTGCAACAGTTCAAAATTCAGATTCTTATTTTTGAGATTGGCTGCTTCAGTTTTATGTTTTTGTGGCGTAATTTACATTACATTATCTGACTGCTTTTATATACATTTACACGGAAGAATTCTTGTTTTTTTGTTTGTTTGTTTTCAAATGTATGCTTTTTTAATTAAGACTGGTGACAGCTCTTGGTTGTAATTTTATTTTGTTGTATACTCTGGCTTATTTTACAAAATTACCACCATGTTTTAAGTAATGCTTCACAAGTGTACTACTGCTTACAGTGCTATACAATAAAGCAATTTAGCATATTTAGATAAACCTTTTTTTTTTTTACTGTGCTCAAGACATTGTTTTCCCATCTTAATCACTTGTACCATTCAATAAATTCTTGCTTATTCCAATAAAAGATTATAAATGATTGAAATCAGCTAATTTTTTTAATACTTCTCAGTTGCTATTGTGTAAGTATAATTCACAAATTAAACAAAATGCTTCACAATAAAACACAAGAAATAGAAGTATAACATATCACAACAATGCATTGTAACAGTCACAATTGTGTGGTGTCTCTTTAAGACCACCCAAGTTAATGTTTAGTGATGTCACAAGTATGGCCACTGCCCCCTGTAGAGTGTGTGAGAAGCGTGCTGGCACATGAACACATGGACTCAGATGGACCTCATGTCTTTACCTCCTTAACTCAAAGTAACGTTACGAGTTGTATGAACACTGCTTGCTTCATGATAAGACAGCAGCCGTTCAACAGGGCCTTGTAAGGTTAGTGAAGAGTGTGTTTATTAAAGGACAAGCACTGTGGAATTCCCAGTACCAGTGTTGTTGTGGGCTGAGTGGTCCTCTCAACCACTGAATACAACCCACGTTACAATATTCTTTATGTTATTCTCTGAACTGACATTTTTAAATAAAACTTTCCTTATACCAGCCCCTCGTGGCTTACTGCCAGCCACAGACTTGCTGTTAATTCAAGTGGGAGGGAAAAAGTAGATGATGAGGAAAAGTTGGCACAGTACTGTATAAAACTAGGTGTTGGTGTGAGGGAGAGCAACATGTTGCGTACTTCTGAGGAGCCTCTAATGCTTTTTTAGCTGCTGTACATGTAATCCTTTCCTGGCTGCAGTGAAATCCTTACATATAGTTCTAAGTTTAAAGTCTGTGAAGTTTCAGGTCTAGCTTAACATTGGCAGCTGCCTCGGTTTTTGATTAATGCTGGACAGAATGCCAGGACATATCGGCATATGGTTGTCTTTTGGCATACTGTGGCCACTTCTGCTGGCTGTCGGCGCAATTGAATGTTCAGAAAAAGAAACACTGATCAACCCGCTTCCCAGGAGGGTGATACAACCAAGTGACTGTTTAATGGAGTGTACTGGGATGACATACATCAAAAAATTGCAGCTTCAGGACAATCATAATATTCGGCTGTCAGACTCAACTGAAGGTAAGGAGACACAACATGACACCATCAACTCTGGGTTGGAGGCGTGCGGGGTGTTTGTTGCAAAATCAAATCTCAGGCTGTGTTCTGAAAATAATTCCTGAGAGACATCATCGCTAATTAAAGGGGTTCTGCTGCATCTGTCTCCACCTGACTGACCTGTTTTATATTGCGCATGTGTATAGGCCTTCACAAACTAGTTTACTTTCCTAGGAGACCTCGGGGAATACTGTTGGCCTACTGACCTCAAGTGCAACATTGGTGAGAGCTTTTTGCATGCCTACGCGGTATTGCCTGTGGATATATCTGCTGTGGGACATGAGCAACTGGAGGTCAAAGCCACTGCTCCAGCTGCCACTACACTACACGCACATAACAGCCCTACAACAATCGCAGAGAGCTGCGGCCTTCGTTACGACGTCACACAGCATTTCAGCACACAGAACGCTGGGACATCGCTCTGCATCCAGGTTTCTACCCAGGAAGATGCTCTGGGGGACACGGTTCTTAAATGTCCTCCATATCTGGTCACCTTCTGGCAAAGAAGTCCAAATCAGCGCCAACAACAAAGTGCTGGATAAAATATCAGAGGTAGAGGTATCCAGATGTTTTAAGTAAAACCACCAATTAGGATATTAAATAATATGAAAGGTCCTGCATTTTTAGACATTTTAATGGAAGTATTAGATGCAAATGTACAGAATGAATTTTAAAAAAAGAACAGTCCCTTTGTCAGAAAGGAGATGGAGCTCTCTCTATAACTTATGGTGATTTTCTTTAAAAATTGGCATCGTTTGCTTTTCATTAATTTAAAGCTGCCACATACCCACAGGGGTTAGTATAAAATTGTCACACAGCTTGTTTTTTTTATCTAGCTAATTTGATCATACCTGGAAGCTGGAAGTGTTACATTCTTATTGCTTATATAAACGCTTTAGACATTTTACTTTATTTGTTCTTTTCATACTTTGTATGAAAAGAACAAGCTTTCTTTCTAAGGTATCTAGTAAGTAAACCTTTCAGACTCATAGAATAGAATAAAATGTTCACTATTTCCTTGTGAGCTATTTTGAAGCAACAAGTAGCAAGTGTGCTTGGAAGTAGTTGTAATTTATACTTAAGTCGCCAACAGCAATAAGGAAAATCTATTGTGGGTCTCCAAGGTCCAATAATAAAATAGGGTATCAGAGATGCTAGTAATGGATGGTTATGCTTGGATTGTAATTCAGGGGTAAGGCTGGGGCAGAAAAGATTAATAACTGTAATTTCTCTATATTCTTAAGCAAGTTTAGATTTATTCTCTAGTGCTCTCAGTGTGCTTTTAAATCCCTTACCTGAGTGAACAGAAAATGAGAGTGAGGTCCACAAGTTCACTAAACTTGGAAAGCCATGTGAGTGATAGTAACGATATTATTTACTATTCTGACAAAATGCATTTAATGCACTTGCTATGATCAGTGAAGCTGTATACTACATTCTTTCAGAAATATGTGTTAAGATGATGATCAAGCATATGAGCATGATGACGTGGGTATTATGAACATTATATGGCACATATACTTGTATTATCCACAATAATATTCTTTTGATATATATTTGGTTTATGTGACTTCAGTTGTAAGGGTGTTTCGTGGCACTTTGGCTGAAAGGAGCAGATGGGGAATGATTTTAGATGTGTCAAGCACTCTGAAACTTTCAGGGCAAACTTGTTGCTCTGCTGACTTACTGAAAGGCAAAAAGCTATGTAAATGTTCTCTCTAAATGAAGAATGCAATGATGTTAATGTTGTGTTATAAGGGTTGATAGTTTAATATTAAACCATTTCATTTTCCTTTCACTCTCACATCTTTATTGAGTTTAACAATTTAAGAAAGCTATGATAAGATGTGATTGTAAACATATTTTTGCTCTTTTTCCCACTTCCATTTTGTCTGTTTGTTTATTTTATTCAGTTGTTATGCATAAAATCCTCACAAACAAATATCTTATTGCATTTCATTACTACACAAGGACATAATATACTGCCACCTCCTGGGTATGATGTAAACTAATGGAAGTACTGGAATTAAGTCCCGTTTACTGTCCAACCACTGGATGGCAGACTTCTTACAGGGTAGTACTGCACCAGACTTACAATCAGTATAAATAAATAATTTACTGCCATAAAAAAAACTACAAGTAGGGTGAAACACCAGTTTCTCTGTGAAATGTTGAGCATTATTCCTGTCTTTTAACAAACACCATATTTCACATATTCCACCAAAATGTGGACAAGAAAATCCACAAAGGTGCTTCAAGTAGGCTCATGTTCCATTGCAGTTTTTGTGATCTGTCTCAAAATAATGATCAGTTGTTTAAAATAATTAGTGGAATTATTCCTAATGATCAAAATATATACTAAAAGATCCATTCCAACTGCATGTTTAAATGATAAGCCTAGTATAAAAGAAAATCTGTTTGAATTGACTAATCAATCACAGCGTTAGTTTGGTCATGACAAAAAGTCATCCTAAGCAAACCTTGGCAAATCTCAGTGCCAGAATACATCAGCTGATGGCTGAGCTGATACTCTTTAATACACAAAATTGGAAAATTTCATGTAGTCTGTCTACATTTACTGAACATCTGCAAGTAGTTTTGCAAACCACCCCATCCCAGCTCTCTTCTCTGCATAACATAATCAATGCCATATCTGTTGTTATTGATGTACTGTTTTGTATGGATTGAAGGGGTTTGGGTGGGCAGTGGGGGAAAACCTTTTTTCTGTTACAGTGTAGACACACTATTAAGCCTGAGCACTATTAAGGCTTAAATGAAGGAGGGTTTTTGTTGGTGTGCTCTGCTGGCAGGCGACCAGGGGCAGCATAACATAACCCTCCTATTGGGCCTCCAGACAGACCTTTCTCCGAAATGTCATGAAAGGTGTGACAAAGGTGAAGAGTGAGTCAGGACATTCTGCCTGTCTTAATCACCACCAACAAACAAATCACAAGAAAGTGTGAAAAGAAAAGAAAAAAAGGTATCTTGTGTGTTTAAAAGCCAGTCATAGTTGCCTTTAAGCTGTCTGCTTTCTTACTGAGTCATTTTTTAAGTTCAATGGATACATATTGCCAAGAACAATTTATTCATGTGTCCCCTCAAATGATCTTATTTATGAATGGATATTAGTCAAATATATCAAACAGGACCACACAGGACAAAGGGGATGATTTCCCTAAATCAGATTTTTTAAATCTCTCTTTTTCCATTACATATAATCATGAGATCAAATGATTATTTGCTGTAGGGTTTTCAATACTAAAATTATGGCAAGAGCTCACTGTAAATAATAAATATTATAAAATAAAGCATTGTTTTTGTTTATGTACATTTTACATGTTTTGTTATATCATATTATAATAAAATCACTTACTTATTCTCTATCTTTTCTTGTTTTACGTAATCATTCTATTCATTCTATTCTTCAGGTACCGTCAACCAAGTTAAATCACGATGGAGCACGTAACGTAAATATAAACACAGGTGGCTGTACCATGTGTCTCAGGCAGGGGTAATTGTGAAAAGTTTGCGCAAACCCCTCTAAAGGAGAAAAAACGATTAATAATGTTGCCCCTATTGGACACTTTCGACACATTTATTTTC